ACTTGTTTACAGTTTCTTGGTGAACCTTGTTCAATTATATGGACATGTTCACCTTGGTCCCAATTTTCTGTGATCAGTTTTGAAATTCGTTTTACTTCAACATAGGTCTGTTTATCGTATTATCAATGTTTTCATTCGGTGTCTCTCAATATAAATAACAACTAACCAGAGTTGGGTAGTATCCGAATACTTCTGTATTCGGATACAGTATCCGGCTACTTTATATGTATTTTTAAAATGTTGTATTCAGTATCTGTATCCGTGGCCAAATTTGTAAGTATCCGAATACTGAATACTTTTTTCGATCTTCGGATACTTTTAAATTATTCGATGAATGAGAACCAGACCAAACAGATCCATTTTATGCAGGGGTATCTGGTCGCATTTTGTCGGGCATCTTCGAAAATACAATTTTAGCACTTTGCCACCTTGAAAAATGTTATTAGAGTGTCTCATATATCAAAAATGTGCAGTAGAACCCACTTGGGGCTTGTTTTCTTCCGTTTACGGGGTTGGGACACCCAAACTCGAAGTCCAGCATCCTCGAAAACGGGGTGTACCAATCAATCTCGTTGAATCAGAATCTATGTCGTGGGCATTTCACAATTCCCATATCAATTATCCATTCCTTATATTTTTAATATAATATATAGCCACCACTGATTATAAAAATACTGTTAGATCAATTCCAGCCATACGTACAAGAGAAAAGAATACATTTAGTAGATGTGCTCAATTATGGAAAAAATCCAATAAAAAAAAAAGCAATGGAATTTCAATTAAAAATTTAGGGCATACACTGAGTTCTCCAGGGGCAACCAGATGGAACTCCGTTTATGATGCAGTTGAGCAGATTTTGCAAGTAAAAGAGAAACTTCCAATTCTGCTACAAAGTTTATCTTTAGAACCTTTTAAGAAAACTGAACTATTGTATCTGAAAGAATACTGCTTAGTTATGAAACCTTTGGCTAAACCGTTAGATTTGTTACAAGGTGAAACTGGAAGACAAAACAACGAATTTACAAGTATTACATGAATACCCAATATTAAAAAAAGTGTCACTGAGTACCTCCGTCAGTACCAGTAAAAAGACTTTTCTCTTTTGCAACTATGATTGATACGCCAAAGAGCAAAAATTTGAGTGATGAACCCTATGAGGTATTGGTACTGACGAAGGGAAATTCAAACTCAAAGGTACAAAGGTAATAAATATAAACAGTATTTTGAGTTTCCTTTATTTTGTTTCTTTTTTTATCACTTTTTGTTTTTGATATTCATCCCTAGTATTTTTATTTGTAGGTATACATTGAAATGCTATTTTGACTAGCTCTCAAAGTATCCGTAAAAGTATCCGAAAAAACTATCCGAATACTTGTATCCTAGTACATTTTTAGGTGAAAGTATCCGTAATTCTGATACCAGATACATTGAAAGTATCCGTATCCGGTATTCGGATCCTTTTTGCCTGTATCCGACCCAACTCTAACTACCCAAATAACTAACACAATCAGAATACTGATTTTCGACATGAAAGAGTTAGTATTCAATTTCGCCGGGTGATATATTATATTGTTTCAAAAGTTTTGTCCATGTGTGTGTGTGTGTCATGTGTTTCATGTTGTCATATCTCAATGACAATTTATTCTACTGTGTCGTGGTATACAATAATTGATAGAGAATTTTGTACTCTATACATTGATCCTGTTCATTTCCTTTCAAATTTTAATTTTTCGACACTTTTCACATATATACTATATGATGTCGTTGAGAGATTATAGGCCAATTTCTCTCTACGAATTCAAATTGAACCAAAGCTCTGCTGGAACAGCCCGAAAAATAGTGTTACTGAACGCACTGATTCGCGTTGGTTTGCAAAATTGCGTTTTGGAGATTTCAGCTTCGGAGATGAGTCCCCAAAGTGATCAGTGATCAGTACCACACCGTCAGCGGCCATGGAGATCCTTCTAGATCTACCTCCTCTCCACATTCTTCTGGAAATAGAGTCTAGATGGACTGCATACAGACTTGTGCACATTGTGCACAACTGTCAACTACGAACTGCCTTATTAAATACTATTCCCGAGTAGAGTGGATCCTGCGGAAGAAGGAAATTTTAAGAGCAGATAGTTGTCGGTTCACAGATGGATCAAAAACACTTTCTGGTTCTGGTGCAGGTGTTTTCAGTCGCACACCCAGGACAGAGTTATCTACCGGCCTGGGAGGCAATGAAGCTGCTGACTCTCTTACAAAGGAGGGTGCTGCAAGCGGCTTCATTGGACCAGAACCTGTCATTGGCATCGCTTTGGGCTTTGCCAAACAAACACTTAACACCTGTATGGCACCACTCACCACATAAACTAATCGGCTTCGTCAAGAAGCTGGGTTTATTTGGCCGAGTGTGAATAGGTGTGAGCCACAATAAACCCTTATGTGTGGCGGTGCAGGGTCCCACTCACTTTAGACCTACCTACCTACTCCAAAGTGATCGAAGACGAGGATTTGAGGACTCTGGTGGAGACTGACCCAACACAAACGATGCGTGGGATTGCCGAAGAACTGGGCGTCAGCTCCCATGCAGTATTTGATGGTTTGGAACGTATTGGAAAGGAGGAAAAGCTCGGAAACTGGATGCCCCACTATTTGAACGATCGACAGAAATTGTCACGTTTCGAGGTCTGTTTTTTTTACTTTCGCGCAACTAAAACGATATCTTTTTTAGATCGGGTCGTCACGTGCGATGGAAATTGGGCTTCTTCGACAACAGGAGACGTACAGGACAGTGCAGACGAATACACATCAAAAAAAGACATGGTTATTTTATGGTGGTCAGCGGCTGGTGTGAATACGTATAACTTTTTGCAACCGGGCCAAAGCCTCACAGCCTTGTGAAAAAATTGACTGAATGTATGGAATATTGCGTCAGTGCAGCCGGAACTGGTTAACAGAACAGGTTCGTTTGCTGAATCATCAGCATATATCAGTTAAAATAATTCTCGCAACAGTTTATGAGCTTTGCCAAACAAACACTTAACACCTGGATGGCAAGAGAGTTATGAACTTTTGGCAGAATCTTCCAGGATTGGCTCACTCCAAGGCGTTTATTCACCCTTCGAAGCTTGATCCCAAACAGTTGTTGGACTACAGTAGGGATGAACTACGATGTCTAACAGGCCTTCTTACAGGTCACTGTCATTTGAATCATCACATGCAGAGACTTGGACTGACAGAAGACAGTGTGTGTCGCCTCTGTATGGAAAATAATGAAACTGCAGAGCATATACTTTGTGCCTGGGTTCTATGAGTTCGGCAGATACGTACTCTCACCATCTGACCTGAAAGACCACTCACCATACAAACTAATCGGCTTCGTCAAGAAGCTGGGTTTATTTGGCCGAGTGTGAATAGGTGTAAGCCACAATAAACCCTTATGGGTGGTGGTGCAGGGTCAAATAGACCCACTCACCTTAGACCTACCTTCCTACTCCAAAGTGATCGAAGACAAGGATTTGAGGACTCTGGTGGAGACTGACCCAACACAAACCATGCGTAGGATTGCCGAAGAACTGGGCGTCAGCTCCCATGCAGTATTTGATGGTTTGGAACGTATTGGAAAGGAGGAAAAGCTCGAAAACTGGATGCCCCACAATTTGAACGATCGACAGAAATTGTCACGTTTCGAGGTCTGTTTTTTTTTACTTTCGGGCAACTAAAACGATATTTTTTTTAGATCGAGTCGTCACGTGCGATGGAAATTGGGCTTCTTCGACAACAGGAGACGTACAGGACAGTGCTTGAACACTAATGAGCTACCCAAGTACTTCCCGAAGACGAACACATCAACAAAAGACATGGTTATTTTATGGTGGTCAGCGGCTGGTGTGAATACGTATAACTTTTTGCAACCGGGCCAAAGCCTCACAGCAGGGTTTTTTTGTGAAAAAATTGACTGAATGTATGGAAAATTGCGTCAGTGCAGCCGGAACTGGTTAACAGAACAGGTTCGTTTGCTGAATCATCAGCATATATCAGTTAAAATAATTCTCGCAACAGTTTATGTGAAAATTTATGTGTGTGTGTAAACAAAGGTGGTGATAAATCATCTGTCGCTAATTACAGGCCCATTACACTAATCTCTAACATATCGAAAATAATCAAGAAGAGATTATACTCTCAATGGAGAAACGGCAATTGAATCTTTCTATGTTTATACCACTTTTATTTGTAACTAACGTTACTGCAGTTTCATCCTATAAGGACATTTTCAAACTTATACATTAAATGTATGCATTACGTGACATGAAAATTGTAATTTCTCAATGAATCGTGTGATTTCTCTTATAATGTTATCCAGATTGGTACTGAAGAGCTCCTAAGGCAAGTGTTTCACGGCGAAACATCGATGTCTACCAGTGAGGATGACAGTGTTCCGTGTAAGTGGAATTTTTATTTTTCATTTAGTATATTGTATAGAAATCTTGATAACAACTATCTGTTCCATCCAGTAGCGGTTGAAACTATTGCTGTTTATGGCCCGGTGTCTATATTGTTCGTTCATGCCCTCGGAAGGAGATCAGGCCAAGCAACGAAATATTACCGTTCTACCTTTTTTTTGATAGAAAGGATTAGTATTGTTATTCAACGTGTAATGCTACTTCACATAATTTTGATGAGATCATGCATTGGCCTCATTTCAGTACCGAACTGAAATCTCTTCCAAACAAGCCGAGATATATGTATATTCATCAGTCTCCAATCAAAGTTAATTCGCAAGTGATTGATTCAGCTTCTTCTTTTTCAGTGAGCAGTCCTCGTGGAGATGCAGTCCTCGTAGTTCAGGTTCCCTTTCAGGGGAAGAGCTTCATGGTGCAAGAGCCAAATTGATCTCTCTACAAAACTCTTCATCACTTAGAAGGATCGATTGCAGCTTGAGAAACGGTTCTGATGCTGATTAGGTGGAAAATGTTCCCTAACGCCACAAAAGAAGTATAACTTCAAAAACAGACGATCTACAACAAATTTATTAGGATCACTTTGATACAATTCATACGCTTTCATTATTTTATTCAAACGATGAGTTTTTAGAGTAATGTAACTTTCGATTATTCACTAAAATTGACATTGTTTTGGAGGCTCCTGATGACTAGACGATGGTAATGTCTGAACAGGACCTGAAGTGTTCCTGGGGACCGCATCCTAGACGACCAGTTCCATCCTCGCAGAAGCCCCAGTTATTTCCTGTAAAACCCAAATTGTTAAAAATAGAAATTTGTCTTTCGTGAGTAAAAATAGTTGTGATAGATTTTTTTGTACAGCTCTCGAATTATACCATTGTAAACTACATTAATCCACGAAAAAAAGCAACCCTAACAATGATTGATGCGTGATCAAAGCATGATCAATAGGACACTTGCGTCTATTGGGTGAAATAAACCAGATTCCTCACACTGACCAATCAGATTAAACTGCAATTGGCTGGCGAAATTCATTGTTACAGTGCCGAAGTGGTCAGTTATGTTTGTTTGTCAAATACTGATACGGCTAAAGAAACTGCTAATTTGTATCCCAACACTCCACCTAAAAAATTTCTCGCACCCAGCCGCATATCATTAAAAAAAATAAAATGAAATGTCTGTCGTTCCTTAGTGCGACTCTGTAGAAGCAGCCTTGTCTGGGAGATCATGTGCACTATGCATGGTAATGTTTTGAAGCAGTCTGTTGCTTGGATGGACAGGTCACGCTAACGTGACCTGCGTGCGTAATAAAAAATATGAGGATGTACAGTTAATACTCATTGAAACAAAAAACTTTCCAGATTCACATATTATTAGAAAAGTGCTTTCGGTAATATTGGTTTGACTTTTCCAAAACTAGAAAGACCAACTGATAACTTCGAAATTTCGAGTCGAGTTACTGGCCACAGAAGCATCTTCTAGAAAAATGATGTGGGAAAAACGAATTGAACTAAAAGAATATTTAAAAAAATGTACCTGACTCAAGAAACGCGACTTCAAAACTATGAAGCAGAAACAAATAATGCAAGTGAGCTTATTCATTCTCATGAAATATTTCATTAGCAATGAAGACTGATTTATTAATTAAACTAAATGATTAAAAACATTCCATTTAGTCGAATTTGGACATAAGATATGTTTTTACAGAATAAATAATAAGTGTTTTCAATAAATGGTATGGCTAGGTGTCTGTTGAATAAATGTTTTTCACATTGATAGGTCTAAATGCATTAATTTCATCATCACTTTGAAATGAAAGTGATGTATTTACTTTGAAGGGTTCCTCGCATCAAAAACAAATTTATTCCATACAAACTTCTATTCGTCTTTGTTGAATTTTCAATTTTGAGTTATAGTTACAAACAATTTTACGGTACCGTAGATTTTCTCAAGTTATCAACCTCATCTAACTCATAACATAACCTAGCCAATAGGAAAATGTATATGGTAGAAAATGTTAAATGTACTATCATAATTTAAATATCTGACATTGAGAGACAAACTTCACTTCATAGTTCATTTCTCAATGTGTTGTATTAGATCTTATTATCAGTCAATAATTGAAATATGTTGAGTAAATATACAGAGTGGGCCAAATTGGACATTTTTACTGGGAAACTCCTCTTTTCAAACTATATAGATAAAAACTGATGGCTGTGTTTGGGAATTACATTTTATGACAAACTCAATAGTGAAAACCACATATCGATATCTATAATCGTTTCTGATGTACAGAATGTTTATCGAAAATGTACATTTTTCGAAAAGTCGCTGTAACTTTTTTCCTGTCAAAAATTTCTTGTTTCTATGGAAACATTTTGGAGCAATTTTTTACGTAGAATTCAATAATGTGAAAAACTTATTTTTTCTAACATTGTTAGATCAAGATCTTCAAATGATGTGGTTCTGCAGGTTTTTCCGGGTTTTCCTGCAGCTGAAAAAGCAAATGCGCCACTGGAATCAACGAAGTCGCCCCGGAGTGCCAATAATTTTTATTGTTGTTTTTATTTTATTTTTATCATTGTTTTACTACAACTAAAGCTCTGCTTAAGTAGCTCAGCCTTCGAAATTGTTTATTTATCATTCAATGTTACACCATTATCAAAATATGTAATTACCTGAATTATTTACCTGTATTATATCTATTTCAGATATTTCTGTGAATGAATAACAACGTCTGTTTGATCATGACTGAAGAATTTTTGATGAACAACGGAACAGCATAGGATTCTAGTATCTGTTTCAGATATTTCTGTATTTGAATAACAATGTCTATTAATAGATAGTTTATTTGGTCGGGTGTGAATAGGTGTAAGCCACAATAAACCCTTACGGGTTGCGGTGGAGGGCCGAATAAACACATTATCACTTTGATAATGTGTTTATATCACTTTGCATAAACAGCTTAAAAACATCACCATCATTTTCAATGTCTAATATTCTCAGTTCGAAGAAGGAAAAGTTCAAACTACAATATGCCTATAGATAATTTCCAAGTTTTGACTAATAAAAAAAATTATTGCTTCTGAGATAATATATTCTCATCAAGATTTCCGATTATACTTACCACATCTATAGGTCCATCTGAGGACGCATCTCTCACATTTGATATTGGGAAGTTGCACTCTGTTGTAAACGTAATAATCATCTCTGGATATCATATGTTTGGACGATCCATTTTCTAGAAGCAGATCTTGGAAACATTCTTCTCCAGATTCGGGGGCATTTGGGTCTTCCAACTGACACAAGCTATGAAAAAGTCAATCAGAAGAAGTATCATCATATTTTATAATTGATATATGTTTCAAAGTGGTCGTTTTGACTCATACCTATTGTGAGAGGATCATCACGAGTCGAATCCACCCATGTCAACGTGACAGTACGTAAATAACATTCATTCGCTTATTTGATCAAATCCCAGTCAAAGGAATCTTGTTTAAATTGAAAGAGTTCATGTTTAGGAGAAATTAATTTTTGGGAAAGGAAAATTTTAGCTTTCTACTTCTAAATCTTGATACAAAGCAATCAAAAATCAACTGTGTATAAAATTGTGTAGATGATGCAAAGAAGTAACTTTCAGGCAAAAATAGATCACTGTTTAAGGAGAAGCTCTGTAACTGTTTTGGCCAATGCAGGAGGCAACATTACATCCATAAAACGTCACGGTGGCTGGAAATCTGCCTCCGTAGAAGAAACATACATAGAAGATAGTTTGAATAACAAAATTGAGATATCTGAAGTAATATTGAATTGTTCATCTTCTTCCAAACAGATTGAAATATCTGATAAAATTGTGGAATCAACTCTTCAAGGAATATCTAACGCGTCAGATCAGCAGCAACATGGAATATCTTCAAAAATGTATGTAAGAAGTGATCGTTCAAACTTTACTATTGATTATTACTCCAATAGAAGATATTATTTCGTGATGAATAATCAATTAATAATTGACTCTGTTGAAAATAAATTCTTCAAAAAGTATTTGTTCATCTTGTATATTTTGTGAATGATTTTGGCAGTGAAAAAAATATTTTTTCTACGGATGCTATACAATGCGCCACTTCTCTCATCGTTTTCATATGTTCAAAACGAAAGATTTATCACGCTGTGAGAAATATCCGCCATTACAGTGAGAAATAATTTGTCACTGTTATCACTATAACCCAAGTCAGTCATGAATTGTCACATGTCAGATTGATATGACACGTTCTCCATGTTGACAACGCTATGCCGACGATTCGCGTGCAATATCCAAGTAGCCCATTGTCGGCGTTTCCATAACAACAAAAACGAAGCACTGCATAATTATTGCTGTCAACTTACCCAATGAAAATAGTTTTATTGTTGATTGTTATATTATAAACATACTCGAGCGCGTCAGATATTGATAGCATCAATGTCCTACGTATTTTTAATAAAGTTGGTATGTTAATCTGATCGTTTGCATGATGTGGGTGGTTATACGTAAGGGTTAAAAGTGAAAAGAAAAAAAATT